TGTGGCTAATTCCTACGTTATTGGTGGGAGCATGGCAACGAGAAAAACATGAATAAATTAGTGGAATGAAAAGCGTTCGTTGATCCCTGTGGGATTTAGACTGCCGGTTTGAAAGATGAGCTTTTGTTCAAGATTTTTACGGCTTTCCGTGCCACCTAAGTGCAAGGAAAGACCGCAGATTGCCATATGTTGCTTAGAGTGATTAGGTAAATTAAAATGTCTAGCGACTGTTATATGATTCATTTGTTGACATTCTTTTGCAGCTTTCGAGTTTACAATATTGCTGATGCACTAAAACAGAGTTCGAAGTGTCATAATTTGCGTTTAAACAATTACACAAAAACTTAATTTTGCAGTGGAATACGTTTGTCTCAGCGGATTATTGTCTCCTTCAAGTGCAAGACTAAACAGGGCCAAAACTAACTTCATCTAGGTTTCCCGAGTAGTAAACGACAAAACTGTGTGATCGTGTGCCTCATGGCCTGTCTCGTTTCTCTCATCTTCTAACAATACAGGAATGGGTTAAGAGTCGAGTTAAATAACAACAGAGATATCGCAAGAACCGAGGCGAATTTAAGGAAGGGTGTATTCAATCCACAGATAGAAATAAAACCAACAACTAAACTATAAGGGAGATAACAAGCCAATAATGCCATTTATACTCACAGTGTTGTGGACACTGTCTTTCTGTATCTCGCTTTGTTCTGTTGATTTCCTTCTCCATTCTGTTGTCCTTGGTGAGCTTGATCTTGCACTTGGACTTGAGAAAGACGAAGGGTGCGATAAATTTTGGTGTAGTAGAAATAGGAGATAATTAAGCGTAATAACAACGCTGCACAAGCGATGCTCATAGCAATGTGTAAAATGTAAAAGACTACTGTTGCAATGAGAGTGCCGAAGACCCAAAAAGTAGTAACGAAGAGTCTTACTCGCCTCACAGTTACTACCTATATGTATCTCAGCCCCAACAACAGAGCAAGAAGTCTGTCCACACTTATTTCAGTTATTGTGCACAGCGATACCTCGCAGAATATTGAACCAATCGTATTAAAAAGTAATCTAGAGTAGTAGCGACCCGTTGAGTGCTCTGGAGACATTAAGATAAAACTGTGAAAAGGATGTGAAATGCGGCCCACGGCCAGATCTGTGCACGCAAGAGAACCGAGCAAAATTTTCGAGGGCGGATGAAGGCACGACACCTTTCGGAGATTAATGATGATCAGAAAATTTCCTACGATTGCAAAAATGGATAGAGGAAGACTTAGGGCTGAAAGGG